ATATTTGAATGATGCACCATTAACAGCAGATGTGTGTTTTTATATACGGTATCAAATTTGCTGTGGAGGTACAGAAGCTGAAATAAAGGTTTGATCAGGCGAGCGTGTTACATGACATCAAGGAACATCTTCTCAATGCTACCCACAACACCTATGAATGCTTTGACACAGCACCACTTGGAAGGAATCAGCAGCACAACACACCTCACATCACAACTCCACAACCTGGACAGTCAACCCAGATTCCTCAACACCCACCATACCATCACTGCCACCATCAGGGTGCTTCTCTGGGAGAGGCAGTCCCGCCAGAATGTGCGGCACAAACCCAACCACCGAGGTAAGCCTCCTGTCCACCGCTGCTTGCTGCATGACGCACCGGTGGAGCCGCGCGATTGGCTCCAAGCAGTCCGGGAGCATGAGGAGGCGGGTGATGTGGCAATCCACGAGAGTAGACACCCACGCGAAGATTCTTTCCAAACGCGGTACGGGGAGGAACGGCCGCGCCCCGAAGACAGAGTAGGCAGGAAGCTCAACAGCGAATCCCCGAGCCGCATACACGTCCACCCATTTGGCAAAGTATGAGAAGAGGAAGCGGACGTGCGGCAGGGAGAGAGGCGCCAGGGCAGCAGCGAGAATCGTATCGTCGAATGGGACGGCAACAACTGTGTGGAGGATGAGCTCGGCGTCAGTGAACGCGTCCAGCTCAGCAGATGATGTCAGCGCAGCTGCCAGCGAGGACTGAAGCCGGGCATGATTGGCTTTCTTAAACTTCTTAGACCCTGTAGCAGCACCAGCCAGCACTGAACGTACATCTGCCACGGCCCTCCGCCCCCTCAGCCTCCTCAACTCCGCCACTCTGCTGCTCACAAACCCCTGTCCATCCTGCACCCCTTCTCCCTTCCCACCCACCCCCTCCTCCTCCTCATCCACACTTCTCCCTTTCTCTGCGTTGCTTCTGGCATGCTGCTCGCATGCATGCTCACTGGCAGCCACGGCATCATGCAGCAGCAAGCGGAGAATGAGAGCCAGGTGTCTGGGAGGCAGGTCGCCCATGTGCACCAGACACACCTCTAGCAGCAACACCTCCCGCCGAGCCACCAGGCTCGGCACCAGGTTCGGGCACAGCGCCGACGTGACCTGGCCGGAGCTGACGATGGCTCGGAGCAGCATGCGGTGGGAGCGTGCCAGCGCGTGCTGAGTCAGCGCTGACACAACCGAGGGCGAGAACAGCCGCACACATTCGGTCACGGAGGCGGCAAGTGACTGGTGGTCCGAACTCAGAGCAGCCATGGCGGCTGCGGCTGCTGGGGGTTCGAGCCCACTCTCCTCAGTCAGCTGCTTGGCACAGTCCAGGATAAGACGGGTCAGCCTGTGCTGGTCTGCCATGGATGCCTCTCCCTCTCTCCCTCTCCTCCGCTCCGTGCTGCTGCCCTCTGCCAAGCCATCTGCCTCCTCCAATGCCCGCTCGTACGCGTCCTTTTCCTCTCCTGCTTCCTCTTCCCCATCCTCTCCCTCTTCTTCGTCCTCCTCCTCTCCCTCCTCTTCCTCATCCTCCTCCATCTCCTCTTCCTTTTCATCCGCCTCGCCCTCTTCCATATCCTCCCCCTCCTCCCTCTCCTTCCCATTCTCAACACCCTCGCTCCCTACTCCCTTCCCACCCTCCACCCCCTCCTCGCTCCTCAAAGCCATTCCTTCCAGAGCATTGAGCAAGGCCATCTCTGCCTCGCTCCCCACAAAAGACAACCACTGCCGCCCATTGCCGTCCGCAGCCCGGGACAGGTTCAGGGCCATGTGCAACTTTCCAAACCTTGCCTTCCCACGCGACTTGTTTGCCTTTTTCTTCTCTTTCAGTTTCTGCTTCCCTTGCCCAGCTCCTGGCTTCAAACCCCCTCCCAATTCCTCTCCTTCCTGGCCCTCTATCCCCGCGTCCTTTCCTGGAAGGTTCTTCACCAATCCCGAGTCATGCAATGTGGATCCCACAAACCACCCAGTCGGCTGTAGCGGGTTGCTGTGGCCCGGCCCAGATTTGTCTGCTAGCGCCAAACCAGCCGCCCTAGCAGCAGAAGCAGCCAAACCACCCCACCCAGCAGTCACCACACCTGCAGGCACCTCCCTTACTTTCACCGAATCAGTCCTTGCTGCTCCGGAAGCAGGCTCGGCAGCAGGTTCGGTGGGCAAGAGCAGGGGCACGGCGGGTTGGAAAGCCCCTAGAACCGAGGCAAGGGAGAGCGGGGGGCAGTGCACATGCAAGGAGTTCAGTGTGGTTGGCGTGGTAACCAGCAGGGAGGCGTCTTCTGGGGAAGGCCCCACCCATTCCGCGTGAATGAGCGGCAAGGGGAGGGGCGAGGGGGGGAGGGAGGCGGGGAGGGAGCAGGAGGAGGGGAGAGGGGTGCAGGCGTGCACACAGCCAAAGAGGGTATCCAAGGCAATGGCGAAAAGCGGCAAACTTGCAGGAACTGCGTTGTCTGTGGCGTTCAGAGGGGGTTTAGTGTGAGAAGGGGGCTTGGCAGCAAGTACGACGCAGTAGCGAGACCCAGGCACTGCAGCCATGGCTGCTGCTGTCACTCTCGCCTGGGAAGACGAGGGTTTTGAAGCTGGGTGGTGGGTGGCACCGCCCTCAGGCACCACCTGTGTTGCCGCCACTGCAAGGCTTCGAGTCAGGGATGCTTCCAGGAAAGCGGGGAGAGTGACGGAGTCCTTGGGGGCTTGGGGTGGGATGGTGTTGGGGAAGCACTGCCACGTGGCATCACTCCATAGGAGCTGGTTTTGGGGAAGACGAGGGGGGATAGAAAGACCGCAAAGAAGGATGCATGAACAGACTGAAAATATTATCAGGTGGCGGCTCAAATATCAGAGCACAGCACCGCACAACACAGCACAGCATGGCCAGCGACTCACCATGATCTCGCCTGCATCACCCACGCACAGCGACACAACAGCACGCCCTGATTCCTCCCCTCCTGCCTCTTCCTCCTCCTCCTTTTCCTCCTCTCCCCCCTCCTGCCCACGGCTCCTGACTCTGAAGGACTTCAACAGAGTCACCTTCACTACAGGCACATCCCCATGCCCGTTGCCTCGTGCCATCACATCCACATCAGCCATGGCCGCATCACCCGCCGCACCACACGCCACGTGGTACACTCTCACCACCCTTGCCTCTCCGCCCCTGCCGCTCTTGCTGCTTCCCTCACTCGCCCCCTCCCCTTCCTCCACACCCACCACTGCCAAGACCCACTCACTCCCCCGCTTCCCATCCCCCTTGTTCCCAAGCCAGCTCCCCGAGCCTGACGCCTCCACCCGGATCTTAGGTCCGTCCGCAGGCTCGGTGAGCGATAAGGTCAGGGAGAGGTCCGGCGAGTAGGTTCGGATGGAGCCATCCGCGCAGAGGGCGAGAACACCCCCGGAGGGCGGGACGGGGGGAGAGGTGGCGGTAGCGGTGGCGGCGGTGCCAGGTGTGGTCTCGTCTGCAGGCTTCGTTGCGTCTGGTGTTGTGTGGGATGGGCGGGGAACGGAGCAGCAACGGCAGAGGGTGGAGTGGAGACGGAGTGTGGCATAAGGAGAGGATATGGCAGGCAAGGGACAGGCGCTGTGACGACGCGGGGAAGAAGAGACGAAGGAGCATGGGGTGGCATTTACTGCGGGCATTGGACGCGTCGCACGGAGGTTATTTACCAGCGTTGGCGCTTCCCGCCGCAGTCAGTGGAAACAGGCGGACGATCGGCCTATCAGCTTCCACCACGTAGCAACCGTCCGCCGCGCCTGTCTTGTGCAGGAGCGCGGAGGGCGCAATAGAGGACGCGCCGAAAGGCCAGCTCGCCAGCACCTGCGCCTCCGCGGCTGGCGCATCCGCCCCTGGTGCGCCCGTCGCTGGCGCGTCCGCACTCCCCTGGAGCAGCGCGTAGTGGTGGCGGGACGCGCGGTCGGAGACGCACGGGGCCGCGAAACGGTGCGTGGGCGGACCCAGAGGCCACGCGCGGAGCCGAGTCTGGGGGGAACAGGGGGGAACAGGGGGGAGCAGGGGGGACAGGGGGCAACCCAACAGGGGGGAATAAGGGGAAACAGGGGCCGAGAAGGTTACCAGAGAGGGGGAGGAATGTAGGAGAAGGTTCAGGGTTGAGGGTTCCACCTTTGGTGAACGCGGCTGGACGCATTAGGGAGGGACGCGGAGCGAGATGAGGCAGTAATTTTACGATTATCCCAGCGGTCATGCGCGGATTTGAGAATGCGAAGGAAGAGAGCGGAGATGCGCGAAGGATGCGCGAATAGAAGTGCGGGGTTAGAGGTTCAGCTCCTATTACTAAAAACAGGGAACTGAAAACCTCCTCGATTCTCACACGCGCTTTTGAAAGGCTCAGCCACATACGGCCTAAGAGTTTTCCTGCTCATTTCGGGACGCGACGATCGGGTGCTGACTGCGGGTGACGATGCCATACGCGATACATGACGATCGCCAGGTTGGCACGCGACGACCGAAACTCACCCGAGACGACACGGAGAATGTGGACGCGCCGTCCGACTGCCTGGACAGCAGGATGGTGAAATCGTCGACTTTCGACGCCCCTATGAAGACTCCAGGAGGTTCCTTCCGTGTGCCTACCACTGACCATGAGGTCTCCTGTAACCCCCCTGGTAGCCCGCACAGATGCACGGCGTCAATCTCCATGGCGCGAAATGCTGCCTACTTCACCTGGATGAGGCGGACTAAAGTCGGACGCAGACTAAAGTCGGACGCAGACTACATTACTGGCGATCTGGGGATTAGGGCTGAAAGAGGTGTTCAGGGGGGTTTTGAGACCTGAGCAGGATCAAGTGCGGGAAAATCTCACTCATTCTATGAGCAGATTCGGTAGAGGTACATCATGCTTCTGTACGAAGTTGTTTCCTGCAAAAGTTCACTCCTCTGATCAACATTCGAGAACCTTTCGTGAGAACCTCGGTGTTTGCATTTTGTGTCAGCCTCGGGATTGCACTCTGCTGAGCTGACCCGCATCTTTTTTATGAAACGTATCCTGTCGTACATTCCCCGCGCCACGTTTCTGTCCCCTCTCTCGCCATTCCGCTGGTCGTACCATTCTCCCTGCTGGTACGAAGCTTTCCGGGTAGAATTTCTTCGTGCCATCCCACTTTCATCGCTACTCTGAGAGACGATTTGTTTAGCCTCGTTAGTCGCCATGGCCGCGATATCTCCCGCTGTGGCCAGCGCGATTAAAGGCAGCGCATTTGCGCTGTCCTCCAAGAGCGACGCCAGGAGTACTGTTTCCCAGCGACTCGCTATTCGTCAAACGCGATATGATGGTCTTCGTAATAAGGTCAGCGACAAGGGCCAGTACAATGAAGCGGAAGACCTTCCTTATTTTGAGTGGTTCTATTCGTCGGTGATTAGCTACCGGGTGTTTCATGTGATGATTCGTGCACGCGCAGCATCGCATTATTGTATCGCTGTCGCCAATTTCATCGAACTCCTTAGCTTCCCGTCCTTCTTCGTGACGATGATCTTTCCAGGCGAGCGGTATTCCAGGTAGAGGCGTGGGATCAGGACGACTGATCGAACGAAACGCACAGGCCAAGGTCCACGTGTCTGTCGCTGCAAGCCTTGAGATTGACATGGACTTCGCCCCTCCGCCTATCGACGGCGACCTGACGGTGCGTTCACCTGAAACCACCTTGCTTTGGTAACAAAACAGCACAGCAACATTGCTCTGTTTGAAATTGGACATAAGAAGAGTTCATCCTTCATCCTGTGTGTGCAGGAGACCATGGAGGATTATGGAGCGGAGTTTGATACGGAAGGGGTGGCTGTGACGTTTAACAACAACGATGACGACGCCATTAATGCAGCCCTCAACTCCGTCGCGGTACGTCTCGTGCCTGGCGCATGCCATTGATTGAATGTCACTCAAGTCGGTTCCATCCGGGAATCACTCTTCCCACGTATCAGTCACTGCGATCTTCATTGTTACGGCTACACCTGCATGCATCCCAGTCCCTCTTCCTTCCTCCCTCTTCACTTCATCGTTCTGGCATGACGCGATGTCCTCCCCTCTCCTGCTCCCTCGTTTCCCTGTGTCTTGATTCTCATGCCTGCTTCAGGTCTTCGACATGTCTCACTTTGGCAGAATCAAAGGTAAACAAGAATCACAGAAGTAGCAGGTGATGGAATTGCAAGCTCAGGAACTGTGGCAGACAGAAGGAAGAAGGCAATATGAGAACCATTGCAAGGACGGCATGGAGCATGTCAGCATCGATGCAGGGACCCCAACTTGTAGCGCATTTTTCCCTTGTTGTTTCTTTCACAACCTCAGCTATCCTCTTCCCTCCACCCTGGTTGGTTGGCTTGATTCGACCTCACTGTCACCACGTGGCATGCTTTCCACAATGCCTCCTCCCAATTGCATCATCATGGCAGTATCTGGGGAAGACCGGATTCGGTTCCTGCATAACCAGACCACGGCTGATTTCAACTCCCTCTCGCCTGGCCAGGCGAGTTGCCACTATGGACTGATCTTGTCATGCATTGAAGCACAGCACTAGTGCATTCGTGCACCACCATTTTTTGCAGGCTAGGATTCTGTTAATGATTGTTTGTGTATGCAGGCCTATACATACATGGGAGCTAAAATAATTTGCCTTCAGCAAATCGTTTTCTGGTGATGCACTTTCTCTTGGCAGGAAAGTTCATTTGAGGCACAGAGTCCCTCCACGAGTGACACTACATGCCATTGCATGACATCCTACTGCATCGCATAACAATATACTGCATTGCGTGGCCTCTGCATGGCATGTTCTTGCATGTCATCTGCTCGCATGCCATCTGCTCGCATGGCACCACAGGGATGCATGACTGTGTTTGTGTCACCTACAGCCCGAACCATCGATCTCGCCACTGCATGGGTTATGGTGAGCACCATGTCTTTGGATAATGATTGGTACGCTTGAATCCATTTCTCAGCGCTGTGCCTGCCTTGCTGCTTTTCAATGATAAGGCATTTCTGTTCTGCTACACTTCTGTAACACATGGCCACTCTCGTTCCCGTATTGATTTCACCCACTTGCCTCCCTATTCTTCCACTTCCCTCCTCCAATCCCTCCCATTTGTCGTTCCTCTGCTGCGTTAGTCCACTTCTGTTATTCTCACAGTCTCACCTGGCAAAGCTCAGAAGCTGGTTACCACAATGGACCGGTGAGTGCTGCAACCGCTGGTTACCTTGTTAGATAGGAGGGATCATGGGATTATCGTTAAATGGGATTTGAAGGAAGGGGAGGCCAGTTTCCTGCTCTTACCGTTTCTTCCAAGCGACTTGAATCTCCTTGCCCCTACTATCCCATCCTCTCCACACATCATCCTGTTTGCCATATGGCCATCACCCCTCTCACACCCTCCGCCAGCAGCATTGTTTGCATCCCCCCCTTTCTTGTTCGTCCCATCCATCCCCCTTTTCCATCCCACCTGGATGTTTGCACTGCCTATTCCCTTTTGTCCTCATGCCCTACCAGGTATATCTTCCCAGCGGACAAGGTTTCAGTGGCGGACATTTCAGAGCAAACGAGGCTGCTTGCCCTCATTGGCCCTCAGGCACCCACGGTCCGTCTCTCTTCTACCACTTCTCGTTTCCTGCACATGTTTTCACGTTTTGACTGTCGATTGTCAATCCTTGCCCTGTTGTTTAACATGTGCTGCTGGCATGCTCACCTCTTAATGCACATTTTATCTGGCTGCATGCCTGCCGTGCCTGACTGGCTGGTTTGCAGGTTGTGGAGAAGCTTGGTCTGACTCAGTTGCTGGGGCAGCCCGAAGGGACCCATGCACACTTTGCTGTAAGGGTTGCATGCACAACTTGCTGTAAGGGTTGCGCACACACTTTGTTGTAAGCAGAAGTGTCTTGTGCCGGTTTTTTTAGCACGCGAACATTGAATGAGTGCTGACAAACCTTTTCCAGTATCATCCCTTGGTTGTATTTCGGAAATTTACAAGCTCCTCCACTCTGATTTGTTTCCACCCCCTCAACTTACCCCTGCCCCCTCCCCTCCACCTGCTTCCTTCAGGCCTTTCCTCTTGCACCTGCCCCTGTGTCCCCCTCACCCTCCCTCTTCCCCTCTCCGTGGTCCTTCCCTGCATCCCAGGTTGAGGGAGCGCCGGCAACAGTGGGCGTGGGCAGTGGGCTGGGCGCCTCTGTGCCTGGATTCCTGCTCATGCTGTCAGCTGACGTGGCGGGCCGTGTGTGGAGCCACCTCACCGATGGCTTTGGGATCACCCCGATTGGTGCAGCCGCCTGGGAAAGACTGCGAGTCCAGCAAGGTGCTCATGCTCTACAATGCCCTCATGCTCTACAATGCCCTCATGCTTCCAAGACATGCTTGTCCGTCCTTCCATTGACTTCTCCACCTCTGCATCCTTCTGTACCACCCTCTCTGCCTGTAAACCTGCCCGTCAATCTGTCTCTTAACTCTGTGCTCACTTCCGCACTTCAGCAAACCCATAATTTTTTTTCCGGGAAATCTCAAAAGCCTCGGCCTTCATCTTCTTCCCTGTGCTCGCCCTGAGCAGGGCGCCCCATGCCGGGGTCGGAGCTGACAGACGAGTTCAACCCACTGGAGGCTGCTCTCTTACAATGCATCTCCACCACCAAAGGTATCTGCCAACTGCTCTTTGCCAATTGATGCCTTGCACCCTCTCCTTTGAGCGCCATGCTGCTCCTACAATCCCCCCTCTCTTGCCTCCCCTCCACAGCTCCTGTTTTAGATGAAGGATTTTATGTGTGTTTGTTTATCCGTGCCTGCTCTCATTTTCTGCTTATGCTGTCAGTTGGTGACTGACTGCACGCTTTGTCTGATTACAGGGTGCTACATGGGCCAGGAGACCATCGCTAGGCTGATCACGTATGATGGGGTGAAGCAACAACTCTGGGGACTCCGCCTTGCCAACCCAGTTTCTGTTGGTGCAATCATTACAAACAAGGAAGGAGCCAAGGTAACGTCTCTCTTTGTCCCTTTATTTCGCCCCCATTGTTTTGATGACATATTTTGATTAATATTTCCTCCTTGCAGATTGGCAAGGTCACAAGTTGCGTCCATGGCCCTCATGTTCACGATGGCAAAAGTTCGTGTGAGTACCTTGCTCTGGGATACCTCAAGCGGCAAGAGGGTGGAGACGGGGCTGTTGTGCTTGTGGAGGGGCAAGAAGCTGCCGTTACTGACCTTCCGTTTGCTCAAAGAAACCTCATCTAGCCACTCCATAGCGGTTAATAGCCAACCATGATTTATAATGTGTTGTTCAAATTGCCTTGGTGTACCTTGCATCATGTCAAGGGTCTGTTTGTACGTAGCCCCGTTGTTTAGTGTTCTGTGCAAATTTGCGCTTTATTGTGGCGTTTCTCCAGAAAAGCCGGGACACCTCTAGCACCCAGTGCCTTTTTCGGCCCCAGACTGCTTGCGCAATCCTTCAAGCCGCAACCTTCTGCTTCCCGTACAGCGTAACCAATCCGCCCGTCCGATGCTCACCTAATTCTAGCTCATGCCCTCAAATGACGCCACCTGTTACCTAGATTGTATCTTGCGCCATCCACCAGTCAGCCCTTTCGTCCGCGCAAGCACCAGACGCCAGCTTTCCGCCTGGAAGACTGCGTCTCCGCCCTCGTTTGTGTCACTCTTGCCTCGCTGGAGAAACTTTTCTTCCTTGTCTGCGCATGCCTCCGCTGAGGTCAGTTCATCTCGCGCACACCTCGAGGTTGTCTGCTCTGTCGCTCTTTCTCACCAAACCAAACAACACCGCAGCTACAGTTCCACTGGCTGCTGGGGGGCGAACCCTTTGCTTTCGTTATCCACCCACCCACCACCAGTCCTGCTGGGACCGGCCAACACTGACGCGTTTCGCTGCTTCTGCTATGCCGCTTGTAGAAACTGCTGGATTATACGTATACCTTGAGAATGGCTGAACTTCGACGGAGAAATTATTATAGGCGCTGCTTTCCGCTTGCCGGCTTCGCGTGACTCCCTGGTTTTCTTTGTTGTTTGAGTGATTTCGTAACTGTTTCAGGAATTGACCGCAAGAACTGTTTCCAGGCAAAGCTTTATCAGCATTACACCGAAAGCTCTGCATTTTTCAGTGGTCCTCTTTATCCAATTTGCTAGCGACAGTGTTTTGAAAATACTACCATTTTCATCTTGACAAGGCCAATCTGCTCGAGATTAGCATTCCATTTTATAACACATTAGTCGCAGCAGCGAGCGAGCGAGCTGGCTCAAATCGACACGGCACGCGCGGAGCACGGCATGTCGGACTCAGAGTCTCATGAGAGCGACGCGGATCACGTCTCCGGCGTGCCCTGCATCTCCGGCCAGCCGTCCTGCGGAGGCGTTTTCCTGCGCAACGTCTGGCCCTTCGCCGGCAGCGGGAAGAGCCTTCAAAAGAACTTACTCCACAACAGCGTCCGAACTGACGCGGACGTGACCCATGGCGCGCAGCGCGACTCGTCTCCCGACGCAAAAGCAGACTCTAACGCGGATGCTGATATCGAGCACAATGCGGAGCAGTCTGGCTCTGCAAGCGGCAATGCTTCCCCGATGAAGCGCGGGTTTCTCGGTCGCATGCGGAACAGAGCCAGCTCTCCGTTCCACCTGGCGTCGGACTTGAGCCATCGCATGAGCAGCAGCGGAAGGGATAAGTCGCCGGGACGCGTCGCAGCTTCTAAACGACGCGGCAAGTCCGATCGCTCCCCGCAACGCAACCGCTCGAACAAATCACCGCTCCGCGCGACGGCTAGTTCAAGTGAGAGCGATGCCGCCGCCAAGATTGCCGGGCTGGATGCGAATGCGGTGCGAGACCAGGCATCTGGAGCGGGCTTGTGTCAGGCCGTTAGTGAAGGAGCCGTTTTAGGAGATGCTGGTGATGTGACTGTAGAGAGAGTGACTGTAAGCGAGTCAGCGGCGGTGGGAATGGATATTAGCGGCGACGACGAGGCCGTGTCAGCGTATAAGCCGAAGGATGCGCAAAGAATCGCGGAAGAAGCGCCGTCGGATCACGGATCCTCGGAGCCGAGCGTTTCTCAACCGTCGATTGGGCAGGAGAAAAATCCCCCGAACGTGCTGCAACCTCAAGAGGATCAAATAGCTAATTTGTCAGCAGCAGCCGTGACTTCCGGCGCGAGAGACGGGAAGGAGGAGGTGGAGGAGGAGCAGGCGATGGAGCATGAGATGCAGGAGCTTACCGTAAGCGATGGGTCGGGAGCCACCAGTGGGGCTGCCACGGCGGTAGCACTGGCGGGAGCGGGGGCGTTAGCGGGAACATTAGTTGGAGCAGATGGAGGGGATGAGAATCGGAGAGAAGAGGAGGCGGCGGTTGGAAAGGAAGCGGAGGAAGCGCGTTGGGAGGCGAATGAGGAAGGGCGCGCTGAGGTTAACGAAGATGGACGGTCGGAAGCGAGCTCCGACGCACATGCTCCTGCGCCTCTTCCCTCACGCTCTGACCCACAGGTGAGTGTGCGTTAGTCTGTTTCTGGGCCCAAAAGAAAAGAAAAACAACAGCGCTTTGAGGCCAATTACGAGTGACTGCTGGAGACACGTTCAGACGCCCACGCTTCTGCGCAAGTTTCTTCGCATGGAGACCCGCAGGTGAGCGTGAGCGAGTGATACGTGTGAGACTGAGGGGGGTGCTGTCAGAACCATGCAACGGGGAAAGTTCACAAGGCATGAGGCAATGGCAAAGCTTTACCCACCCATTTTCTGTGATTATGCTAAGCACGACGAACGCGCTGGTTGTTAATTACCGAGGCCGCAGCGATAATGAAATCCCTCTATCACCTTCGATCCCCCCCCACTCCCTTGCACCTCCTCCTGGGAAGAGCCTGTGCTGCTGGGAAGGCTGGACGGCCTCCACGTTCTCCCCCCTTATCCCACTCCACCAGCATCTCCTCGCCCCCCTCCTGCAGCACCACTTCCATCTGGCCCCCGCAGCCAGCGTCACCCGAGGAGGAGCTGTGGTGGTGGACAGTCTGGTCAGGACAGATATCCAGGCTGCTGAGTCTAGGCAGCAAGTGCAAGGTCATACCCACTGCATTCTTGTATGTCCCCCCTCCATTGCCCCCTTCCTCTTCCCTCTCCCCGCCCCCACCCCACACACCTTTCCAGCCTGCATCACCTGAGGAGGAACCGGTGATGCTGGATTGTCTGGACAGGTGTCTGGCGCTGCTAGGTTCAGGCAGCAACAGCAAAATTATACCAGCTCTTTTCTGTTCTGTTTCCTCCAATTCCCCTCGGCCTTTCTCCCCCCTCCTCACAGCCCGCATCACCTGAGGAGGAGCCGGTGATGCTGGACAGTCTGGACAGGTGTCTGGCGCTGCTGGGCTCGGGCAACAAGAGCAAGGTCACCATGGCCCTCGTGGCAGTGCTCGCCTACGTGGCATCTGGTGACGTGGACAACATGAACAACGTCTACGACGCCCTCCCGTTCTCTCTTCTTGAGGCAGCCTTTCGGGCGGCTGTGGCTAAAGGTGTGTGCCGTGGGAATCACAGGAAAATGAGATCAATGAAATGAAGGGGATAAAATGGATATCACACGAATATTGCTATCTTTCTGGTTACTGGCGACGATTTCAATGCAACCCGAGTGTATCTATGGAAAGAGAAACGCGCTTGTGAGATTGAACCATAACGGCTACTGATTGACCATGTTAACGTGCTCCTCTTATCCTTGCCCTTGTTCTCTCGCGCCCCTCCACCACAGGGAGCACAGGGTCAAATGGCATGGTCGGTGAGGAGGAGCTGGTGCATGCGGCGCTGGCAGTGCTGGCGGCGACAATGAATCCTATACACGGCTGATTGACTGTCTCAACGCCCTCTTCTTATCCTCCAATGCGTATGCTAAAACGCGCGTTCACCTCTCCCTCCTTCCCAGGGAGCACGGGGTCAAACGGCATGGTGGAGGAGGAGGAGCTGGTGCATGCAGCACTGGCGGTGCCCATAAAGCATAGAGGCTGCTGATTCACCGTGTGGATGTGCTCCTCTTACTCTTGCCCTTGTGTCCTCACCACCCCTCCACCCCAGGGAGCACGGGGTCAAATGGCATGGTGGAGGAGGAGGAGCTGGTGCACGCAGCACTGGCGGTGCTGGCGCTGCTGCTGCAGGAGCCTGACCTCGCCTACGCGCCACAGACCACACTGCTCGTCCCCCACCTCGTCGGACTCATCCGCAACGGGTCGGTCCGCCTTGGCCCCCTCTGCCCGCCTCTGCCGCCTGTGCTCTGACGTGCTGTGCTGTGCGGTTGGACCGCCACTGCCCCCTTGGCTCTTCTGTGCGATGCTGGGATGTTGACGTTTGTGCGATGCAGGGATCTCCCATCGTACTGCTGCTGCTCCTTGCAACCTCCCCCGGGCTCTGCCTCCCCCACATTATCACAGCACCTGATTCCCGTCCCACCCTTCGAAACTCCTCACCTCTCCACCCTGCCGGGTTCCTGTTGCCTTGTTGCCACGGGGTCAGACACAGGGCTCAAGGCAGTCAAGGGCGCGGACGACCTTGACCTGCCTTCCAGCTCATTCACATGCGCCTTAACCCTCCCATCCCTCCCCCGTCCTTGCCTGTGCAACCTCTCCGAGCAGGTACGATCCGGTGGTGGCAGTGGACGCGTATGAGTGTCTGCTAGGGGTGGCCACAGGGTCAGACGCGGGGCTCAAGGCTGTGAAGGGAGCGGACGTGCTGGGAGTGGTGGCCGAGAATATCCAGCGTTCCAGCCCAGGTGCGTTGCTGCAGAGCACGGGGCAGGTGCGATGTGGAGTATCCGTTTTATATGGTAAAGATATGAGCGTTGACAGGAGGGACCACTCAACACTCCCCTCCCTCCCTCTCTCCTCACCTCCTTCCCTCCCTACCTTCTCCCCCATCCCACCCCACCCCACCACGCCCCTCCCCTGCCCCAAATGGCGGCCCTGCCCCCAGGGTGCGAGTCACTAGCGTCGGCCATGCAGCTGCTGGGGTTTCTGTTCATGAGCGGCGTGGCTGACATCGAGATGTACGAGTACAAGCACGAGTTCGCCGCTGCGGTGAGTCCCATCTTGCAAGTCCCAACGGTTGGAACAACAAACACGAGCTTTGTTACAGGCGTGAGTACAAGCACAAAGAGCAGTTGGGGACTGTGCAGGAGAGTAGGTGAGAGTTGACCACGGTCTTGTCATCATCAGCAACACACTTTGATTTCAAGTATTGAAGGTTTCAAGCTGGTGATTTGAACTGTTTGAGCTGTCCACTAGTTGGTTGCTGGGCTGCGTCTGGCTTTCAAATCACCTTGCTAAGAAATCCCTACCATCTCTCGTCTTACCCCATCCCCTCCCCACGTCCTTTCCCTCTACCGGGCCTTGTTCTAACCCCAGGTGCCGGCGCTAGCGCGGGAGCTAGCGGAGCGCACGGACATGCTCAAGTACGAAGTGCTCAAGCTTCTCGTTGCCATGCTCTCGTCTGAGCCCGCGGTGCGTGCCTGCGTGCTGCCTGCCTGCCTTGAGTGATCGGTGATAGGGAGGGAAGATGTAGAAAGGTAGATGTAAGGGCAAAGATAGATAGGGAGTGATAGGAAGGGAAGATGTAGAAAGGTAGATGTAAGGGCGGCGGAAGAATCAAATGTTGAGTTGCTAAAGCATCTAAACCTCCTTTCCTGCTGTCCTCGTCCTTATCCCCCACCCCCCCCACAACCCCCCTGCTGTGTCCTGCTCTTCCTCGCTCTCCATGCGCCCCTCACCAGGAGCCAGTGAGATCGGTGGTGCAGACCTTTGATTCCGGCAGCGAGGGCAGGCAGTGGGCGCATGATATTCGGGCAGGCCTAGCAGACATTCTGCTGGACAGCAACGGGGAGGAGTTTCGGAAGGATGCTCTGCAGCTCGTGCGAGTGGTGGCAGAGATCCAAGGGGAGGCCTGGCTCGTGGAGACCGGGGAAGGGGGAGGAGCTGGGAGCGGTGCGAATGGGTTGAGTGCGGTGCGGCCGTCGCCGGCTGATCGGTTCCTGCTGGTGCTGCTGCAGGCGCTAAAGGTGGAAATGCCTCCGTTGTTACAGGAGCTGGCGGTGCTGACGATCGAGAATGAGGAGGAGGCAGCAAAGGAGGGCGAGGGTGGGGAGGGAGGTGAGGGCGGCGAAGGGGAAGGCGAAATGGACGGCGAGGAAAAGGGAAAAATGAATGCGGATGCCGCGTGGGCGGCGCTGGGCGGCAATCTGGACCGCAAGGCAGGAGGAGGGCTAGGGCGGGCAGGAGGGCTGGGCAAGGGGGAGATCACACGCATGCAATCCCTAGTGCCCACCAGCGAGGACTGGCGATCCGTGGTGAATGAAATGGTGTGGGAGCCGCCAAAGGATAATGACGACGATCCATCGCTGCTGCAGATAGAGGAGGAGGTTCCGGAGGAGACTGGCCCCCCTGAGGAGGTGAAGAGGCTGTATCGGGTGCTGGGGGACTGTTACTGCCTGGTTGAAAAGGTGATTACGGCCCTGGCTGGGGCTGCTGCGGAGGTGGAGAAAGGGAAGGGGAAGGGGGGAGCGGGCGGGGAGGAGAAGGGTGGGGAGGAGGGGGAGATGGAGGTGGTCATGCTGGTGGAGAGGATGGGGGTGGAGACGGTGCAGGTGTGTGTGAAGCTGGTGGATGCGATTATCAAAGACATCCTTATATTCCTGCAACTCGCACAGGTGAGAGAGATGGAACATGCATGTGTGGTGCTGCTTGTACGTCGACTTAAGAAGACACTCAGTGCAGCTGTGTGTGAAATAGTTCTTCGTGTATTACTGTGCCTTCGTCTGCTTCTGTGTACATCATTGCGCCCTCTTGCTCCCTCGCATGCCTTTCTGTGAGCAGGAGCGGGAGCGGTATTCACATGATGGAGTTCTGTCTGCCGTCAAAGTGCTGGGAAGGTACTGCTGCTGGCACCCTCACGCCCCTCTAGAGACCAGCATTGCACCGCCCGCGATCACATCGCAACGATACACAGCACAGCACAACACATTGTATCGCAACCCATCTGGCATATCCCATCACATGACATCACATAGCATAGCACTACATCTCATCGCATCATCATATCATTTGATACCACAGCACATACCTCCCTCCCGAACCTGTGACTGACCCACCTTTTCTCCCCGACTTCAACCCCCCATCCCTGTCCTTTCCCTCCTTCCCCCTCTCCCCCTCTTCTCCCTTTTCCCTACCAGCTACCTGGCGGTGGCGCCATCAGCGCATCGCAAGAGGGTGGGGCGGCTGCTGGGCTTCATGCTGGGCGTCAAGGGCGAGGACGAGGACAGGTGAGCACGCTCGTGGCTGCTGCTGCTAGTGCTGGGATGTGTTCTGAGGGACCTTACAGTGGTGGTGCTAGGTGGGAGTGCACTCAAGGAGAGGAGGCGGACACACGAGGGCAGTGGATGGATCCTGAGGAACCTTACAGCCGGACAGCCGGACTGCCGTGTGACACGTGCGATCACCTGCTCGGGGTATCAGCTGCTCTTTCTACATGCCTCTCGTGGCATCGCGGTGCCTCCTCACTCCTCCAGGCTCCAGCCCTCTCCTCCAAATCGCTCCTTCCCCCTCAACTGGCCCTCCCCTCTCCCCCCTTGCTCCTCCCGCTGTCACGGCAGGCCGCTACTGGCATCACGCTACCTGTTGCCAGCCCTGGTGCACATGAGCAGCGAGCCCCGTGGCTGCAACTCCATCCTCAAACGCGGAGGCCACCGCTTCGTGAGCGCCCCTCTCCTTCGCCCCCCTCTCCCCCATCCATTGCACGTCCTCGCTCGCGCCTATGACACTCACACTGTCGTTGGCACCGTTTTGGGATTCGCTTCCTCTTCAAGCAGAGCATCCACAGCCATGCACATGACACACAGCCTCCCCACACACCCGTCCCTGCCTGTCCCCCCTCTCCTTCCTGACCCCCCAAACCCCCCCTTCCCCCCTCCCCTCTTTCCCCCCCCAGCTAATCGAGTACGTGGCGGAGACGGGGCACACCAACATGACACACAGAACAGACTCCCTGCGCACCCCCTCCCCCCTCTCCTTTCTTACTTCCCCCCCCCAGCTAATCGAGTACGTGGCGGAGACGGGGCGGACGAACATGACGGGGCAGCTGCGGTCGGGGGTGGAGGGGCAGACCAGCCTCATGCAGGCCGCTGACGTCATCCTCAACCTCTTCTCCTTTGTGAGTCAAGCCGCCTCGCCTCTCGTCAACTCAACTTGCCTGTGCGAGTCGCCTTGCCTTCCTTATGCCGCTGTGCCTTGAGCTTGTTTTGTGGGCTGCCATGCCTTCAACCTTTCGGGCTGCCATTCTGTGCATCTAGCCTTGTTGTCTGCGATGTCGTGCCTTTAGCCATTGGACCATGCGTGCCCCAAAGGTTTTGCTGTCTTTCCTGACTGGCTGCTTGTTCTGCTTGCATCCCCACCATCCCCACCAACCCACCATGAAACCCAACCAACCAATGCAGAGGCGCAACATCAAGGTGCCTGTGGACCCACATGACTTTGTGCCACTCCTTGCATCCATGGCTGCATGGAGCAGCGTCAAGAGTAAGCATGCTACAACTCATGATTCGCATGTAGCTGCTACAGTGTTTGATTCTCCATCACCACATGCTTTGCATCTCTCTTCTTCCTTACCCAAACTCCAAACCTCCCTTCCCCTCCTCCACCTCATCCCTCTCCCCTCCCCTCCCCACAGGCACGGACCCAAAGATTACGTACAAGACTCTAGCGATGGCAGCGTGCGTGAACGTGTCCATGCTGCAGCTATCCTCGGAGGACATAGTCAAGAAGAAGCTCGACCTCGCCACGTACAAGAAGCTGCCGGCGTCGCTGGCGGTGATCGTCAAGTTCCTGGAGTTTGGGCACCGCAACTGCAACTCCTTCAGCAGCGAGACGGAGATTAAAGAACTCTGGGACGTCACGCTGGGATGTGAGTTGCTTGGATTTGAAAGGGCTGGTGGTTGTGTCATACCTGGGTGTGTCATACATGGTTGTGACCGTCCTGGAGTTTGGGCACCGCAACTGCAACTCGTTCAGCAGCGAGACGGAGATCAAGGAGCTCTGGGACGTCACGCTGGGATGTGAGTTGCTTGGGTTGGGATTAAACAGCAAATACTCCATTCCTTTCCCCCTCTCTTCCCTTCTCTCCTCCACCCCATTCCAATACGATGTCATTGCCTGACTTTTCTCCCCCACTTGCGCCTCTTCCTCCTCTCTTCCCCTCGTGTCCGCCCACCTTGGCCCCACTTCCGCCACTTGCCCCTCTCCTCTGTCTCCACCCACCAGCGTGTCAGGACTGTCTGCTGCTGTGGCCGCAGCTTAAGAGGGCGATAGTCAAGTCAGAGTACTGGGCTCGCGTCTCCCGGCAAAAGTAAGTGCTGCACCGATGGATTTGTGGCAAATATGTATGACATCTTTACCTAAACTCCTCACTCTCCACTCCCCCTTCTTAATTTCAACCCCTTTTCTTCTCTCCTAACTCGTTCCCTCATCTCCCCTGTGCTCTCCCCTCAATCCTCCCTGCCCCCCCCCCTCTCCTCCCTCTTTCCTCTATCTGTGCATCTCTGTGTGAGCAGGGCGGTGACACAGGAGAGGTTGAACCAGGTGTGCAAAGACGAGCGACTGCGGAAGCTGCTGGCGCTCGTTGCCTTCTCCAACTGACACTCCTCGCCTTCTCCTCTCCTCCAACTGACATCCCTCCTCCCCTTCTCTCCAACTGGCATCCTTCCTGCTGCCGCTCTCCTGCAACTAACATGCACCTACCTCCACCTACCTCTTTCTCTCTCCCTTGCCCAGTTGACTCGTGGTATTTGATTCCATGCCCATCCTGCCAACCTTCTCTTTGTTCCTCCACCTCACCAACTCCCAAGTAACAAGCACACCAGCCCTCCTCAGCCCCTCTCTTGCAAACCAACTAGTTCTTGTATCTAATTATCCCTGTAACGTGCACCAGCCTCAGTTAGCGAGACAGCACAGTAACCTGGGCCTGAACCGAGGCCAAGGGATGTCACTTGCTGTGTGCAGCGCATGCAAGCAATCCCTTGCATTGTCCTCGGTATGTGAGTTGTGGTTTGTAGAGCACTCGCCGTTCCCCCCTCCATATGTTGGCCTGTCCTTTGTTAACCATCAACAAGTTGGTAGCCTAGATTGATACATAACTTTTCAGGCATTAAATTTGTCAAGCACTTCAGAATAGCAAGATGAGACACTAGACGGAATTGTCTAGAGAGAGAGAGCTTCTTACTCAGGGTCAGTTTCTACCTTTCATTTCATGTTATCAGTCAAACTTGTCAGAATCCCAACCACTAGACCATTGGGATAAAAGGGCTTGTTTCAGTAGCGGGTCAGTGCGCTCATAACCCCCCAGGCAACAGCGCCTCTAACCCCCCCTAGGATCGATCGGGGATCTCACAGTGTAGCTCTACTGACACCCCCCCACACTGGGAGACCCAGGACTGAGCACAGTGGCAACGGCCAACATGTGCATACACCGGGATTCGAACCCGAGACCGCTCTGATACCATGTCAGAATCCCAACCACTAGACCATTGGGATAAAAAGGCTTGTTTCAGTAGCGGGTCAGTGCGCCCATAACCCCCCAGGCAATCGCGCCTGTAACCCCCCCTAGGATCGATCGGGGATCTCATAGTGTAGCTCTACTGACAAAACAATCACTTGACTTAGGTACACGTCAATCAGTCACTCACATACGCCTACAGGGATTCATGAGCTTTCTAATCATTTGTCGTAAAAAACATCTGAAATCATAGGTGCCGAACTTTCCTTAGCGCACGAATCAAGCCAAAAAGGGTATACTATGGGTATTTAAACATGTGCCGCTCGAATATGCAATAACATTCAGGTTGTTGAATGCTCTTCTCTCCGCCTATAGGGCTTCATAAGCTTACTCAGCATTTGTCGGCAAAAACGAACGAAATTATCGGCGCCGAACTCTTCTTTGTGTACGAACCAAGCTGAAAACGCTAAAAAACATTTGAACATGAGCCACTCAAATATGCAATAACATTCAGGCTGTACAATGCTTTTCGGCGTTCAAACACACATGTATTAGAACCTTCTCAACTTGGTTATTGCGCAAAGAAAAAGTTCGGCGCTAATGTTTGCTGTTTTGGCCGACACATGCATAGAAAGCATTGAATCCCTACAAGCGTAGGGAAAAGCATTCAACAATCTGAATGTCATTGCATATTCGGGTGGCTCATGTTCAAACACATCTAATGGAGCCTTTTCGGCTTGGTTCTTGTGCAAAGAAAAGTTTGGCGCCTACGGTCTCGACTGTTTGGCTGACAGATGCCTAGAAAACGCATGAATCCCTACAGGAGTAGGGAAAAGCATTCAACTTGAATGTTATTGCATATTCGAGTGGCTCATGTTCAAATACCGTACAAATAATACCGTATGGCCCCGGACATAAGCGCAGGCCTATGTTAAGCGCATGCGCTTGTATCTGGAGCAATGCGCTTATGGCGGATCCTCAATTATAAGCGCACCCCTTGGAAAATCGTGACTTATTATAAGCGCACCCATTTAGTTAAAAAAATTAACATTTTTTTTAACCTACCTAGCCTACATGTTCTAATCTTTACATTAACTTAGACAATCACATACAAGGGTGGTCTTGGCTGTCCTGCACTACACACCTTTCAACCTGCCTAGTCTACCCTACTGTCTATTCTTCCTCCTCGTCCGACTCGGGCTCGGTGGAGTTGTTGCCCCAGAACCCATCTGCCTGGATGTCGTCGTCCACCTCCACCTCATGGGACAACTGGCCTCTCCGGTGCGCCAACACCAGTTTGTCTTCGCTCCCATCAAGGGCGTTGCTAATGCCGCACGTGAGGAAGGCTCTCTTGATCAGGTCGGCGTGTGAAAATGAACGAGAATGGATGAACTATGAAAGAGTTGGGTACAAGTACTAACCCTAATTGGGTTGTACCCCTTATGGGCTACCCCACTATAGCCTACAGAAAATGCATAGGCTATGATGTTCTGACACGGCGGGCACCGCCTTCCACGCCCGGGAAATCCACTTGAGCACCACCTCCGGAGGTGGTTTCTTGATGTTCCCTCCATCACACGGAGTGGGCCGGGGAAAACATGAGACAACTAAACAGGCATACAAGCTCAAGATTTGCAGACGGGAGCACATGTCATCACTCACCTGCCGGGGTCAGGATGTTCATGCCGTCCGCCTCAAACCAAGTCTGGTACTGCTGATGAATGCTTGCTTTGAAGCTTTTGTTGATCGACACATCGAGGGGCTGCAGGTCTGCCGTGCAACCCGTTGGAATGATAGCAGGCACGATGTTGAGCGCCGCGAATCTCTCCTTGACTTCTCGTGTCAGGTGACCGCGATACGAGTCGAGCACCAGCATGGCGCTACGACTATGCAGGCCGAATTTCGGCTTCAGGAACGGCACCACGCCTGTGTTGAGCCACTCGATGACGCAAGCGGCCTCCATCCACCCGTTCGCTTGGCAGCCGACCACAACATCTGCACGCAAGGAAAAAGAACGGTTGACGACTCTGGTAGTAACGGGAATAAACACGCGCGACGATCACGTACCGTTCGGGAAGTCACCCTTGGGGAGTGTCTTGCGCTTGAAAAACACCCACGGCTTCAGCTTCTCGCCCGTCGCCGGGCACGCAAGCATGACAGACACTCTCTCCTTCTGGTACCCACCGCTGCGGATGGGCACCGACCTCACGCCCGTCTGCTCCACAGTGGTCGACGCCGGCATCTCCAACCATAGCGGTGTCTGGTCGGCGTTGATTATGTAGTGGTTATCAATGTCGTATTCGTTCCGGGCGTCACGTACGTACTGTCAAAAATCCTTGCACTGCTCAGCCACGTCTGCAGAATAGAGAGATAAGTACACATAGTAAACCAAATTAGTATCACGCACAGGAGACATGTGAAAAAGAAACTAAGCATAATCGGGATAAATCAAAATCAGCAGTAGACGACCCACTTACGCTCCAGTGTTTTCTGCGCCACCTTTGTTTTCATGCGCACGGTGAGGTTCCACCGCTTGCGGAACCGCTCCGTCCACCGCTGACTGCCTTTCCACTTGACGTCCGGGAAGAGAACCTTCATCACTTCTTTGGACCACTCTTGCAGCCGGCCGACCGAAACCGCAACTCCGCGGCGTCGCCAGTCGAGGAGTTGCGCGTACACCTTCAACTCCATGGGGCGGTACCAAGACGCCCTCCCGCGCCCGTGAAGTCGCATCCGTGCTCCGTGTGCAGCCTTGAGCGCCTCCGCTTGGGCTTTCCATTATGTCAGACATTTTCGGTGTATGCCTGACTCCCGCGCCACTTCGCTCACCGAAGCCGCAAGCTCGAGCCGCACGAGCCACCTCAACTTCTCCTGGGCAGTGTAGGACTGCCGCTTATGTTGACTCTGCTTGTGCCTGGGGGAGGGGGGGCGGGCATCTCGATTCTTGGTAGACGGGTGGGGGCGTTTTTTGTTAAGGGGCGGATACGTCGGTATCAGCATCTTCGCGCGTGGTGCGTCGCGCCACCAGGACTCCACACCGTCCTCATCCTCGGCAGTTGTGTCACGGTCGGGGAACACGTCTTCCTCGTCGCTCGCTGCACCGGCGCCACCAGCTTCACCGTCGCCTCCAGCTTCGCCGGCGCCGTTGTCATGTTTATCGGCGGCCACATCATCGTCGGCGCCCACAGCCGACTCATCCCACGCGCAGGATTCAGGTTGTCCCCACCGTGGTGCAGGCGCCGGAGCTTGGATGCGTGTATCGGGGGCCTTGGGTGTGTCCGCTTCAGCTAACCATTCGTCGAACGTGGCCGGTAAATACAGTTGGAGCACGGGCCGTTGGTGAGCACCTGCCGTAACAGACTCAGGCGGATTTGGAGGAGCGGGAGGTGCGGGAGGAGCGGGTGGAGCAGGAGGCGCAGGAGGAGCAGGAGGAGCAGGGGGTGCAGGGGGATCTGGTGGCACTGGAGGCGCTGGTGGCTCACGGGTATACCACCCGTCCTCGGTAAGTCGCCATGTGCGGCGGGGCTTTTTCTTGAAGAGGATGTGAGTCCCACTAAATTCCGCCATGGCTTCGCCTGCCAGGCGGGGTTGACAAGAAATTGAATGAAAAAATCAGAGAAGAGGGTGAAGAAATGGGCAACGACGGTGACCCCTGCTGCGTGGCGGCTCGGGTTCCTCGTCGATGACAGGCAGGAAACCCCCGCCTACTCCCGTAGAGGCGCTTGCGTGGCAGCATCTACGCTGCGCTGGCAGGGAATTTTGCCGAACCTTCGAGATGGTTCTGCCCGAATGCACATGCCACGCAGCGCATGCTGCTCTGATTGGGCCGCACGGCAACATCCTCGTCACGGCTGTCACTGTCGATGTTTCTAGACAACATTGTGCGGTGGGAAACCGGACCGCTGCGGTTTCTGCCTAAAAACCATGCACGATCCCACTTGGTGCATGGTTGGTTGAATTCGCCTTATTGAGAGCTTCACAATGGTGTGTTTAAAATTGACTGTAATTTTATCCTTTATACAAGCGCATGCGCTTATAAATCAGACTCAATTATAAGCGCACCCCCCCAAAAAACCAGGTTTTATTATAAGCGCAGGTGCGCTTATATCCGGGGTATTACGGTAGAGCCTCTTCGGCTTGGTTC